ATACAGTCCCAGGTTTGAACGTCTCACTCCCTAATCTTGGGCCAGTCACTTAACCTCTATGTCCAGACAGCTCCATTTAAAATGGAAGATGTTAATACTGACCTGAAGATTTAGGGAAGAATAACTTATTAATGACCTGGAAGCACTATAAAGCGATATAGAAGCCTCTCCTACAATGATGCATGGGAAACCTCAGTGCAGCAGGACAGCCAAGCGCCGTGGTGGAAAGAAACCCCTGTGGAGCCATTTTGGCATTCTGTGAAATTTAAGACTTTGAGAGCATCCTTCCTCCAGGACAAGGTTTTTGCCAAAGGACAAGGACATCAGAGTAAGTGGACTCCTGTGAACTTGCTTTCTGCTCAATCCCCCCAGGGTACATAGCAACAATCTGACATGATTCCCCAAGTCTGGGTCTCATCACCTTGACCTTTTTTGTCCACGATGGTAGAAAGTAGACTGAGGCAGGAGAATCAAGGAAGCAAGTTCAAGGGCAGACTTAGCAACTTAGTGAGACCCTGCCTCAAAATAAATAAAAATAAAAAGAGCTGGGGATGTAGCTCAGTGGCAACCCTGGGTTCAATCCTCAGTACCAAAAAAAAAAAAAGAAAAAAAAAAAAGAAAAAGAAAAAAGAAAGAAAGAAAAAAATGAAGAAGGCAAAGTTTGTGCAGTGAAACACATTGGAGCAGAAAATGCTAAGAGGTTAGGAAATGTGCATTTATTCAGAAACTGTGTGGAGCATGTGGAAGAAGAGATGCACAGTGGACACCTGTCACACATCCTAGCGTTTTGGAGAATGTGCAGGTGTATTGCTACAATAGGAAGCATGTCCAGACCAAAAGAGGCCAATTTAAGTCAACACTTAAAAGGAAGTGGTGCTCGCTGGTACGGTGGACATGGGCCTGCGTTTTGCATGCTCAGTGTCTGTACTCCCTTCCAATGTCTGGGGAGTTCTCTCTCCTTGTACGTTTTAGCACGACGCAGAGTCTTCCATGCCAGAGGTGGAAGTGTAAGTTACTCCCTTTCCCAGGAAACAGACCTAGGACAGAGTTTCCTCCAGACAGAGGCATCAACCGTGGACTCTCACAAGAGAACTAGTGAAGGAAAGGGACCAGAAAGTACTCTGACAGTGGCAGAGCATGCAGAAGTTCAGCCTCTCGAGCTGCAACCAGGGGGCACCCTCCCATGCAGAGATAGCAGAGTCCACGGTCAGAAGTGGGTCCCGGCGATGGCAGCTACGAGGCTTTCTCTCTGGTATTTGAGCTCTGCTATTGGCTGGAGGTCTCAGACCTGATTTTAGGAATATTCTGTGAGTTACCCAGTCTCCTCTCACTGCTTATTATTTAATATGAACATTTGAAGGCACATACAAAGGTAGAAATAATAATATAATGAACCTTCTTTACCCCTACCTCCCCAACCCCTGCTATTCTTGGTATAAATTACCATAAAACTCACACTCTGTAGTTGAACAATTCAAGGATGTTTTAGTGACTTTCTGAAAGCATCCCCCAGACATCACTGCAACCAAGTCACATTTTTGCTTTTGTCTGGTTTCACCGTCCTCAGTGAGTCTGCTACCTGCACAACTTGGCACAGCTATCACACAACCATAGGAACAGTTTTCATCCCTCCCGGGAACCCCCTCCCCAGCTCCTAACCCCAAACAACCATGGATCTGCTCTCCATCTTTTGTCTTCAAGAATGTCTTATAAATGGAATTACACATAGGTGGCCCTTTGTGTCTGGTCCCTTCCTCAGCTTGTCTTGGAGATTCTGCCAAGTTCTTTCATTTATCAATAGTCCACTCCCTTTTATTGGCTAGTATTATGTTGTAGAGACACACCCCCGTTTACTTGTCCATTCACCTGTGGATGGACATTTGAGTAGTTTCCACTTGAGGGGGTACGAATGGAATTGCTATCAAATATCTTTTTAACAAATTCATTTTTCTAATTAAACCTGCCAGAGTTGGTTTATGTTGCCTGCAAGGAAGAATCAAGACTGCTATTCCTTTGTAACCAGAATGTCCCCAGATCTCATCAGCTGAGGGAACAAATAAGGTCTCCTTTTATCACTTAGCTACTTAACAGTCAAATGGTCCACACCTGCATAACTACAGAATCCCAGGTTGGGTTTGGTTTTGACTTTTTTCAGGGGGCAAGGGCATCCCTCCCTCCCTCCTCCCTCTCTCCTCCCTCCCTCCTCCATCCCTCCCCCTCCCCTCCCTCCTTCCTCCATCCCTCCCCCTCCCCTCCCTCCCTCCTTCCTCCATCCCTCCCCCTCCCCTCCCTCCCTCCTTCCTGCATCCTTCCCCCTTCCCTTCCCTCCCTCCTTCCTCCATCCCTCCTCCTTCCCTCCCTCCTAGGGCTGCACCACTGCCCATCTCAGCAAGATGACTCAACCCCGCCCGGGCCTCACCATTCTCCTTGGGCAACTGGTCTGATTTTATGCCTACTGTTTTGCCTTTTCCAGAGTAGGACATAAGTAGAATCACACCTTATGTATCCTTTCCATCTGGATTTTTTCACTTAACACTTTTGGGATTCACTCCTATCATGGTTTTATATTATTCATTCATTCATTGGTTTTTATACCTGAGTAGTATCCAACTGTAAATCTGTACCACAATTCATTTATGCATTTACATTTGATGGGCATTTGGGTTAAACCAGGTTTCAGCAATTAATACAACTGCTATAAACATTAGACTTCGGGTATTTCTGTAGATGTATGCTTCCATTTCTTCTGAAATACTCCAAAGTGAGCTTGATGTGTCAAAGTGGATCCAGACCAAAATATAATACTGAAAACAAACTTCTTTAGCAACATTTTCCGATAGCACTTTCTGCAATGTTGGAAATCTTTTATAATTCTGTGCTCTCCATACAGCAACCAATAGGCACATGTGGCTATTGAGCTCTTGAAATGTGACCAAGAACTCAATTTTAAATTTTATTATTTAAATTTTAATTTAAACTTAAGTAGCCACATTTGGCTATTAGCTACCATGTTAGTGTACTTCCAGAAGATAACACAAAAGAAAATCTTTGTGATTTTTATTTAGACAAAGATTATTTAAGATACAACTCACAAGCCTTAAAATAAAGTGATACATTAGGCTTCATCAACATTTGTAAACAGCCTTTTGAAAGAGATAAGGAAAAGACAAGTCACAGATGGAGGAAATATTTGCAAAACACATCTCATCATGGACCCTTACAAATTGAAAAGAAGAAAATGAAACAATCCAAAGAAAGGTACACAAAATAATGGTACAGATACTTCACCAACAAATATGCATAGCAAATAAGTTCATGAAAAGGTGTTCAACATAGTTATTCATTAGAGAAATGCAAATTAACACTGCTTTCAGGGAGCTTAACACCTGCTTGGGGAAGATAAATTTTAATCAAATAAACAGAAATGCATTTGAAATCTACAAGGGTAACTGCTGGTGCTGTATCAGAGACAGGAATCTCACCTGGTGGAGGCAGGGAGGCGTTTCTCTCCCAGGAGAGAAAGTTTCTCTCCCAGGAAGCAGAACTGAGCCTGGAAGGGTGAGTAGGGGAAATGCCTTTGTTTTGCAAGGGCAAGACCATTCCCAAATGAAGCTGGAGTTCAGGGAACCATACAAAGGATGGTGGCTGATGCTTTAAGAGAAAGTGACCTGACCCAGGGTTGTGTGTGTGTGTTGAAGAAGGGTAGGGGTTGGTCTTTTCAAGCCTGGAAGAAGGGATGAGCCTGGACTTAACGAAATACAATGCCCCCAGAAGGGTGGAGGGCTACATAGTGGGCCTGTGGACCTCAGCAGATTTTAATAAGGGATTCATGCAATAAGCACAGAGAGCAATGAAACACAACTTTGAGAGGAGGTCTATGCTGTGGCTTGGACTCTTGTGGCTGAAGCCAAAGCGCTTAGGCCCACATCTCAGCTCTACTGACTGACAGCTTTGTGCCTGGGAACTTTTCCTGGGCCTCAGTCTCCCCACTGTAAAGTGTGGATGGTAGTACCTACTTCATCATGTGGTGGGAAGGATTTAAATTAGTCCATAGACACACGGCAAATTCTTAGAAATGCTGGGCCCAAAAGAAGAACCACATCCACATTAGAGAAAAATAAAGGCCAGATGTGGGTGCCCACCGGCCTCCAGAAGCCCCTGAGATGCTAGCACAACCTACAGAAGTGAGAGGGGCCTTCAAGTGGGTGGAATTTCCAGCCAAACTGGAACATGGTTGAAATTTGGGAGGAAACACACACAACCACACACACACACACACACTCACTCACTCACTCTCTTCATTGTTAAACGATCTGCCCCCAAGTTCTCAGATCACTTCCCTCTCTGGCCCATTGGCAAATCCATAACTAATTCCATTCTAGGAAAAGTTGTGCAGATGAGTCTCCATCAAAGAAAAAAAAGTCCCGGAGCCGCTGGAAGGGTCCAGGTACCAGGACTCCTGCAAGTCAAGTGCCAGTGGGGCAGGGCGCATTCATGTGAGGCCTGGGTGGGCTAGCCCGGGAAGCGACTTCCAACATCTAAAACGGAGTTTCGAGGGAACCGACCCTGCTGTTTGGATGCTCTGCCCAGACCCTTTGTGCTCCGGCTGTGGGCGCGAGGAGGAAGCCACCCAAGCGGTTACTCCCGCAACCTTGGAAGCTCCCGAGGACCAAGCAGGTCGCGTGCCCTCCCCAGCCCGCCGTGGCGCAAAGAAAGGAAAACAAAGAACACTCCTCCCGACTGTGAGCAGGACGGACCGGTGTCCCTCGCTCGGGAGCGCAGGCCTGGCTCTCCGGCAGGGGCCGCTGCAGCCGGTTAGGACGCGGAGGCTGGGCCCCGCGGCCCGCTTCCTCCCTGCGGCCTGGAGCAGGTGCGCCCCCCTCGCGCTGGGCCCGACTCCGCGGTGGCCCGGCTCGGCGGGGGTGTGCGCCCCGTCCCCGGCTCCCTGCGGCGCGCATGCGCGGCCCGTGGTGCTGGGGGAGGCGCCTGGGACGGCGGAAGAGGGCAGCGTGGGAGGGGTCGGCCCGGGCTCTGGTGGCCCCAGGAGTGAGGACTCGCAGACTCGGGACGGAGCTCCCTCTGCGGAGCCGCAGGGCGCACGGCGCGGGCGGGGAGCCGAGGCCTTCGGGGCGCAGCGCCGAGTGGCTGGGTCCGGAGAGACCCGGGAGGGGCCGGGCTGCAAGACAGAGTGTCCCTGCTGGCGCAGGTGGGCCTGGGAGGCCGCCTGGCCCGCCCCGGAGGACGCTGGGCCCAGCCACCCTTTTGAGAAAGGGACCTTCTGCAGCATCCAAGGTGGTGACCGTGGACCTAGGAGGGCGCAGGTGCAGGTGGAGCTGTCGGATTTGCAGAGCTGTGGTGCGGAGGAGGGGGCGTCGGCTAAGTCTTGCAGTGAGGCATTGGGAGAAGGCGGCTCTGGGACAGCTGGGCGCTCAGGCCTGCGAGTGTAGGGTGGGAGCTGGCCATTTCACCTGGGGCCGGAGGCTAGGGGCAGGGTCAGGAGCTTGGGAGGATGGGAGATCCAGAGTGACAGGGCCAGAGAGGTAGAAAGTCAGGACAGGTGGGGGCTGTCAACTAAGGGAAGCACGTTTCCCAGAGAGGTAATCATCAGGTTTAGTGGCAGTGGACATTGGTAGGGGTTGCTGCTAACCCTGGCAGGGTCCTGGAGTCTGTCGGTATAAACACCTGAGGACTCGTGTATTGCATTTATGTAGCTCCAAGGTGCCCTTTCTTCATCTCTTACAAAACACTGTTTACTGTTTGCCCTCAACTCTGTATCCTGGAGATCTCTATCAGAGAAGAGACAACTTTGCAGGTTTTTGTTGTTTGATACCAGGGATTGAATCCAGGGGCGCTTAATCACTGAGCCACATCCCCAGCCCTTTTTATTGTTTATCTTAACACAGGGTCTCCCTAAGTTGCTTAGGGTCTTGCCAAGTTGCTGAGGCTGGCTTTGAACTTGTGATCCTCCTGCCTCAGCTTCCTGAGTCACTGGACTTACAAATTCATGCCACCACTCCTGGCTTGGCTTTTTTTTTTTTTTTTTTTTTTTAATTGTGGCAAAATACAAGTAGCAAAGTGAAACATCCTAACCATTTTAAAGGTATTGTTAAGTGGTATGAAGTACATTGGTATTGTTGTGCTACCAGTCTCCACAACTTTTTATCCTGCAAAACTGAACCTCTGTACCTGTTATTTTTAAGTATTTAGTTACAGTAAAATTAACCCTTTCTTAGTGTAAGTTCTGAGTTTTGATAGACACAGTCACCACCATAGTTATGATGTTCCATTATCCCGTCCCCTCCTGTCACTTTGTAATTACTCATGCCCCTTCTGATGGCCACAAATATATTTCCTGTCCCCACGGTTTCATTTATTCCAGAATCTACAAGTAGAAGCAGACATTCTTTTTTAAAGAAGCCATAGTGCCTACTGTGAGTATGAGTTTTTTGAACAAATCCCCTACAGAGGGACATTTGTCTCTAGACTTTGTTGTCAACCACAATAGTCTGATATCCATAGATAAGTCATTTTGAATTGATCCACGTCTTTCTTTGTGTTTGTTTCCCTTTTATAAAATTCCTTGAGTTCGGATATGTGCTACCTTGCAGAGACACTCTCAGGCCTTTGTCATCCTGACCCTACTTGCTGACCTGGTTCACAACTTCCCTGCCTAGTTCAGATCTCAGAAATGGCGTTCTCATAGAAACTGTACTTTCATCAAACGTTTAGAGAGATTTTAAAAAGGTTTTTGTACTTTGAATAAAGCAGCATGAATTCTCACACTTAGCCTCTTCCCAAGCCTCCAAGGCAGTGATTCTCAAACTGGAGTGGTCTCAGGCTCACCTGCAGGAGGTCCAAGGGCTCCAGCCGCAGTGTCCTCTGACTCAGTGATCTGGGTGGAGCCCGAAGCTTTGCATCTCTCACTAAGTCTTGGTGACCTCACTGCTGATCTGACATCATACTTGAGAGCCACTGCTCAGGGGAACCTCTGAGTGTCTTCAGGGGTGTTCCAGAGCACAAACTGAAAATAGTCAACACAGGATGAATATCACAAAGACCTGAATATCATGAAACTAAGGATTTTTGTTAAGGATGTTCTTGTCTAACTCACAATGATTCCTCTGAAGACTTTTTGGCTTTACCACGGTGCTGTTTATTTGCATTTAATAGGGTGTTCAGTAAATCATGTGTAGTAATCAACACTTGATTATAAAGTAGGTTCCTGTTGGGTGATTTTGCCCGCTGTAGACTAATGTAAGTGTTCTAAGCACATTTAAGGTAGTTGAGGCTAAGCTGTGATGTTTTGCAGGTTAGGAATAGTAAATGCATTTTTGATTAACAATATTTTTACATTGTCACAAAACCCTATTGTTAGTCAGGGAGCATCTGGGTCTACGTAAATACATATAATAGTGCCCTTAACAAGACACACACACACACATACACACACTTGAATGTTTTCTGATTGTTTATATTTTGCTTTCTGATTTTTTAAAAGCCTGCCTGGAGAATTAGTACTTCTAATAAAACCAGATGCGACCTCTCCAGATTGTCCCCAGCCGATTAATTTCCCAGCTGTGTCATTGTCTGAGGTCTCCGGTATCCCCTCAAAGCAAGATTTGCCTAACAATGGCTCGTCCAAGTTCAAGTAAGTCCTCCCATCTCCTCTCCAGTGGACTGTGAATTTCCTGAGTTTCCTACTTACAGTTCTAAGGGACCGCCTATAATAAGTAGGTGCCAGGCGAGACTTTGGACAAAGCCACCCTGTCCTCTTTTGGGCAGGGCCTTCCTAGGCAGGGTCACAGTTTCTCTCTTAATGCTCAAGGGATGTCTATTTGTTTGGCATGTTGATGCTTCTCCCAAACTTCAAACCCATGAGTTCTTGCTTGTTTGTTGGCAATGCTGGGGTGGAAGCCAGGCCCTTGAACATGCCTGGCAAGTACTCAGCACTGAGCCATCTCCCAGTCCATGATTTCTCTTTTAAACTCCTCACCTCTCTGCAGGAGGGAAAAACTGGTGGTGGTCCCCGAGGGCAATGTGGGGTTTGATTTTCTACTGGAAATTCTTTGTACTTGACAAAACTCTGCAGGTTAATGGATCTTAGCCTATAGGGAGGAGGGAGGCCATGCAGTTTATAGATAAATGATCCTTAGGTGAGCTGCTACACAGAGCTTTAATATACCATTGAAAGGCCACTCTGAGCTCTTTTTTGCCTTATTTCTTAGTTTTGAATATCTCCCTGATACCATGAGTCTGCTCAGGTGTAACAATGCCTGCTTCCATTTTGCCCACTATCGGAAAAAAAGAATCAAAACACCCAGTTCTACTCATCCACCTGGCCCCTTGGTGCACAGCAGGCTGCTAGAGTCTGTGGGAGCTTCTGGGGCATGTACCTGACTTTGGCACAAAGTGGGTTTTCTGTGTCTGGAACCACAGAACAAGTGGGCACCTTTGCTTTAGCAAGTGAAAATGTAGTTTTCGTTTTTGCTTTGTTTGCAGTGCTCGGACCTCGTGCAGGCCAGGCAAGCACCCTGCCATGAACTACACCTCTAGCCCTAGAAAACGTGTTTTAAAAGATTTCACACCACAGTAACGTTACTGCACTTTATATCCTCTTTTCCCAGAACCAAACCTACACTGACTTCTTATTTGTTTGTAGAAGTTGCTTTATGTGGTTCCTTAATAGAAGTCACCCGGACCTAGGGATAGATTTTTCAGGAAATGACAGAGTTTATCTGCATGGTAGAAAAGACCTTTCAGGCTGGGGATAGTTTCAGGGGTGAACCTTGAAGTCCTTAGGGACATTTGTAGGGGCCAAACCCAGCAGCTGTACAGGCTGTCCCCAGAGAAACACTTGTACGTTTTCTCATTGTTAATGTCCTTGAGCTTTGTTCTTCCAGGTGGTTAGGGTAGAGTAGAAACGAATTTACCCAGACTGGGCTGCTGTTCCCAGGGTCCTCTGGGCTTGGTAGCTTTAGTGTCCAGTGGGTCTTATTTTTCTCCCCAGCCTGTCTCAGAAACAGGTGTGAGGTCAGCCAGGGCTTCAGTGCGACTGGCTGTCAGGGTTGTGGGCTGGTTTTACTGGGAGACAATAGTGTGCCTAAGCCCCCTTGGTTTCTTCCAGCCTGACACTACCAGGAGCATGGCCCAGAGAGCCACAGGAGCTGGACTGCTCTGGTTCTCTGGTCTGAGGGTCCACTTGCCCCTTGGCTCACTTTTCCCAGTAGTCTGCTGTGTAGCAGGGAGGAAGGGGAGAAGAGGGAGGACGAGGCCTTTCTTGGGATTATCCGGGGCCCAGCACAGTGTGTGGCTATAGCTTATGACAGTAAGGAGACCAAGTATGAGAAATAGTGGGTCCTGCTTTACCAGCTGGGGATGCAAATCACACCCCATTTCTCTTTAACACTCAAGTCAACTGTTTCCGAGCCCCCATCCCACTGTCTTCCTTCCCCGCTTCTGTCTCTCAGGGACACTCATTCAGTCAAAGTTGGATGTTGGTTGGTATTACCTCAGGAGGGGAAGCCCAGGACACCTACCTACCTGCTTGGTCAGCTGAGGAATTCCGTTCCATTTTGGCTGGAATCTTTCATGCTTTCACACAGGGTGTCTGTTCCTGGAAGACATCCATGTCAGGGGTGTACCCTGCTTTTGTGACAGTACCTGCTGTGGTCACAGCTGGGCCAGCACCCACTTGTCCTTCGGGGATGGTGGAAGAGGGAATCCCCCTTCTCCTCTTGGAAACTGTCCCCAGTTCTGTACCCACTAGGTCTGGCCTACCATGGCCACAGCAGTTGTCCCCCTAAGGGCCTTCAGGGCTACGGGGCCTGGGGGAGAAGAGCATTGGTCGGCCACGGGCAGCGCCTGGACCACAGCCCTTCTCCAGTCTCTGCTGCCCAAGAGCAGCAGCGGCAGCTCCCCCACTGTCCGCTCCAAGTGTGGCTCCTGCTCCTTACCTGGGATGAGGACATTTTCTGGGGAGAAAGATGCCACCTGTGATCTACACATGTTTAGCCCTTGCCAACCACATGCTGCCCTGGGAAGAGGCAGGAGGAGGCTGCTGGGGCAGGAAGGCAAGGCGAGTCTGTGCTCACGGGAACCTGCTGGTGAGCTATTCTCTGGGTTCATCTGCCTTCTTGTGCCCCAGGGAGAGCCTGGCTCTTGTGTGAGCTGTAGAGGAGGTGGTCAGGCGTCCATGCTGGGCAGGGCACTTGTTCCCAGGGCAGGGGGACTTTATCCTCACCTTTGGTGGCTGTGCTGAGGGAAGATGGAATGAGCAAGACTCCCACAGGAAAGATGGATTTAGGGAGGAATTGGGGCTTTGGACCCAGTGGCCCTCAGCTCAGCCTTCACACAAATGCACATGCTTGTTGTGACTTTTATGAAGGGAGGCAGGTTCCCATCCATCGGTCTTTTAAAAATCTGCACAGCAGCTCTGCTCTAAGAAGGCACCATGGTACACATCAGGCAGCTGAGGAAGCTGAGGCTCAGGAAGGGTTGGGTGGGAGGCGGAGCTCACTGTGCCCAAAGCCCCTGCTTCTTTAAAGTGCCACACACTCACCCTTCAGGCCGAGGGACACAGTGACTTCATGATTGAAGTTTCTATGGAAGTATTTCTACGTAAGTATCTTAATGTGTAACTTCATACAAGGTCAAGTTTCAAAATAGAGACAGTTGATATGGGATATAAATGTGTAAACAGTACACGGGGTCAATACCAGTTTTCCTCTCCGTTTAGATATGGCCCATTTTCGGACATGTTTTGCCAAAGCCAAGCACATCGTCATCATCTCGGGGGCAGGCATCAGTGCTGAGAGTGGGGTACCAACATTCCGAGGAGCGGGAGGCTACTGGAGAAGGTGGCAAGCTCAGGTTGGTAATGTTTCCAGAACATTAAAAAATTCTAAATGAAGTCGAAACAGAGTGTGGCTCCGAACCTGTACCCATGCCCGAAATGCAGAGGGAGAAGTTTGTCCTGTTGATTTTGGCATCAACATAATGTCCCTGTGATAAAGATCTCAAATTTAAACAGTCACTGTCTTTACCTTCTAGATATAAATAGATTATACTTACAGAAAAATTAAATTTTTCCCAGTAATTACATTAAAGTAGAATCTGAAAACTTTTGTTAGCATAATTTTACTTTTCTAAAGAATTTAAATTAAATTTTTCACATTTTTAAAGTTTCTGTGAAATATTCATATTAAAAGTTGAATTGTTGAAGGCTGAGGGCTTGATGCTTAAATGTTTTTGTTTTGTTTTGTTGTTTTTTGGTACCAGGAATTAAACCCAGGAGTGCTTAACTGCTGAGCCACATCCCCATCCCTTTTTAATATTTTATGTAAAGATAGTGTCCTGCTGATTTGCTTAGGACCTCGCTGAGTTGCTGAGGCTGGCTTTGAACTTGTGATCTTCCTGCCTCAGTCTCCTGAGCCCCTGGGATTACAGACGTGCACCACTGCCCCCAACTTGATGCTTAAATATTTAACTGAAGACCATTAGAATAGAAGTTCTAAGAGGGTGTAAATGGATCTGGGTTTTGTTTTGTTTAATTTTTATTGAGATTTACATACAACAAAATTCACCAATTTTAAGCATATATTCAATGAATCTTAACAAATGGATATAGTTGTGTGACCAACTCCATGATTGCAACATAGATTGTTTCTGTGTTATTCAGCTTTCTATTATCATAATGAATACCTGAGATAATCACCTTAGGAAAGGTCTATTTTGGATGACAGTTTTGGAGGTTTCAGGGCACGACTATTCAGGGCTTTGGGGCTGGGTGGGATGAGCACGGAGGAGCAAAGCCACTTGGCTCTTGGCTAGGAAGCAACAGAGAAAAGAGGAAGAGCCCAGGGTCCTACAGTCCCCTTCATGGATATGTCCCCAGTGACAAAACCTCCCTCAAGGCCTCAGCTCTTGAAGGTCCCACCATCCACACCTGGGCCTGGGGGTGATTCCTGACCCACACTGTAGCACTGTTCCTCCAGCATATCCCAGCACGACCCTTTGCCTTCTGTGCCCTCCCAGGCCCCTGGCGTGGTACAGTCTTAATTCTAGAGAGCAGGGAATTTGGTCTGTTTTATTGTACTGTCCAGTTCCCAGAACGCTGGCATATTATTCGTGCTTAATAGATGTTTTTGTGGTTGGATGAAGACAGTCGTGAATTATTACTTCAGGACATGGCTTCCACACCTAGTAGGTTGGCAGTTTGTCGTTGCATGAAGGTTTGTGACCTCGCCCCTTCTTTCCTCTATTAAGTGTCTGAGGCTGGCAGATGTCCCCTCCGGGGCCTGGGGATTATCCCCTTGAAGGTCAAGGAGGGGAGAAAGGAGCAGAGGGCCACCAGGGTAGAGGAAGCAAGATCTGCTGGGGGGCAGCCACAGGGGCGCAGGCCCCAGGAGGAACAGGGGGAGGGCGCTCCTGGTGTCCAAGGAGGCTGAGCACTTGTGGCAGGAGAGAGGCCAACCCCATGCCAAAGACCCCACGTACACAGTCCTAGGTCACCTGTGAGCTCCTCCAGGCCACTGAGTCCTGGGTGGTGAGCAGGAGGGAGGGGTGCAGGGTTGACGAGGGTCCTCCAGGGGACAGCGTGCTCACAGAGGGCAGTGCTGCTAGGACAGGGAGAAGAGGGCTGACGGTGAGCTGGGGGCCCGCCTGTGAACGGGGACACGCGTCCCAGACAGAGAAGCCACGCTTCTGAAGGCTAGTGCTAATGGAGGCAGGATTCAGCAGAACGGAGTACACACGTGCAGGGTGTGTACAGTTTGCTGAGTTGTGAAAGGTGTGTGTGCAGCTCGATCACACCGCCACCTCCACAGGCAAGATGTGGAACGGTCTGTCCCTGAAAGGGCTTCCTTGTGTCCTTTCATCCGTTCCAGCCCCAGTCAGTCCTGCTCTGCTCACTCACCAGTGATGAGGCTGGCCTCTTCTAGAAGAGACCCATACTTTAAAACACAGATGTTTTAGATATTGTTAACATGTGAGGTTATATGTACGTGTGCAGTCGTGTGTGGATATGTATAGTTTGTGTGTAAGTGTGTAGGGGTGGTGTTCTAGTGTGTGTGTATGAGTATAGTTGTGTGTGTGTTGTGTATGTAGTTGTGTGCATGTAGCTCTCGTTTAGCTGTAAGAACCCACTTCCTCAATTACAACCATCGTACTACAGTTGAGTGTTTTGCAGTTCATGTTTTTCTTGGGTGCACCTCAAATTGAGATTGACTTCATGTATTTTGGAGTTCTGTGAACAAGTAGGTTCAGCTGGGTGCAGTGATGCTCGCCTGTAATCCCAGCCACTTGGAAGGCTGAGAGGGGGGGCTCCAACTTTGAGGCCAGCCTCAGCAACTTAGTGAGGCTCTAAGCAACTTAAGGAGACCTTGTCTCAAACTAAAAAAGGCTGGGGTAAGGCACCCTGGATTCAATCCCTAGTACCAAAAAAGAACAAAAATAAAAGTAGGTTCATCTTCACACGCAGTCCTTTCCTCGTGTTTCATAACTGCCTGAGGAGCGGCGGGCCAGGTTGCATGTCCCCTGCCCTAGCAACAGCATATTTCAGACTGACTTCTCCACAGTCCTGGGTCCTGGGCTGGTGCCACAAACCTGCACCTAAAGCAGATGGGCCCCAGCCTCACCCAGGGGCTGCCTGACGGTCTTAGAGAACAGTCCAGAGCCTGCTGCCTCTCTCTGCCCTGATCCTGCCTCCTCTGTCACCCCCAGGACCTGGCCACTCCTCAGGCCTTTGCCCGCAACCCGTCGCAGGTGTGGGAGTTCTACCACTACCGCAGGGAGGTCATGCTGACCAAGGAGCCCAACCCCGCACACCGGGCCATCGCCGAGTGTGAGGCCCGGCTGAGCGGTCAGGGCCGTCGGGTCATGGTCATCACCCAGAACATCGACGAGCTGCACCGCAGGGCTGGCACCAAGAACCTTCTAGAAATCCATGGTGAGGGAATCGGACTTTAAAACCCTGCCCCCCTGCCCCCATCCTTCCTGCCCACTAGCATAGCTGTTGTCATCTGCATCCCTGTGAGCCCCTCCCGGGCTCTGGGGAAAGGTATCCTACAGTGACAGCTTCCCAGCACAGCTGCAGGGCAAGCAGGCTGGCCACGGGGCAGCTGCTTCAGCAGGGTCAGGGTGGGATGGGGCCAGCACCCCGGGGTGTCTGTGTACTTCCCTTCATCCCCAGGGGGGCACTCTCCACCTCTGCTCCCTTTGCAGCTGATCTGCCTCCGTGCTCCACGGGAGGTAGCTTCTGGCAGCTTCCGGCTTACTCCAGTGTGGTAACTAGATCCTCAGAAAATAAACCTCTGGGTGACCTCACCGGGCCATTACCACCCATTTGAGCAAACACTACTGCCATGGGGTTGGGCACTGCAGTAGCACCAGTCTGGAACCTGTGGCCAAGCTGGTATTTGGAATGTGATGGACAGACCCATCAGCTCCACATGGCATAGAGGAGCGATGTCTCCCGCAGAGAGCGGATGGAAAGAGACAGCTTATGTACAGTGTGGTGTGTGAAAAGCTCAGGACAACACCAGCACATGGCAATAGTCAGTAAACCGTGCCCACCATTATTGCTTTAGCTCAGTAAGTGGTTGCTAGTATTAATTTTTCTTTTACTAATTATTCACTGAGCTGCTTTTGTGTAAAAGATTCAATCTTTATTAAATCAAGGTTAAGATTTTATGAACGCTGCTAGCCTGAACCTTTCTATACTTAGTAAGTCATACCCTTAGCTTCATCTTCCTTACTGACCACTTCGTTTCCCACTAAACTTCAGTCCAAGGTAATCTGAGAGCACATTATTCATGTAATTAGTTATTTTCGCTCTGGGGATTGCAAAGTCCTTCAGGGAATTTGCTCTTGCCTGGTTCAATGGAACTTCGTGTCTGTTTCCCATGATACTAGGGTAAGCCTATTCCAAAGAAATGTATAAGAACAAAATTATTTTTATCTTGTGTTAGTCAGATTTCTGTAACAAAGTATCTGAGATAACTAACTTAAAAGGAAAAAAGGTTTATTTTGACTCACAGTTTGGGAGGTTTCAGTCTATGGTCAGTCTATGGCATGGAGCATGTATGGAGTAAGCTGCTCACCTCATGGCAGCTGGGAAACACAGGAAGTGGAGGGACCAGGGTCCTGATTATCTCCTCCAAAGACCCGCCCCCAATGACCTAACTTCCTCCCACTAGGCCCCACCTCTTAAAAGTTCCACCACCTCCAGATAGCTCCAAGCCAAGGACCAAGCTGTTAACTCATGGGCCCTTGGGGGACATTCCAAACCACAGCACACCCTTTCAAACGTAGAGATGACTGCCTTAATTATACTCAGTTCTGAACTTGCTTAACGTGTGTTTTCAGGTACCTTATTTAAAACTCGATGCACCTCTTGTGGAGCTGTGGCTGAGAATTACAAGAGTCCAATTTGTCCAGCTTTATCAGGAAAAGGGTAATTATATTACACTACAGAATAATTATGTTTTCTTCTTTAAGTTGAACATAAATGTGAAGAAATTGAACATTCATTGAAGATTCCATAGATATTCATGAGAAATAAGACTATACAAGGTACAGACATAAGATAAAATAATTTGCTCACAATCTGAAAGCTTAAGTAAAAACTATAGGATTCCAAACCATCTGCCATGTGATTCTAAGTTCTTATTTAAACATATGTACATAATCCATGTTTATGTGTCTGTGTATTAGCACAATGACCAGAAGAAAATACCACAAAATGTTAATAGTATCAGGAATGGAGATATTATAATTTTTATTTTTTCTTCATATCATTCAAAAATTTCCAACATTTCTATGGTGAATATGCATTATCATTATAATTGGAGAAAAAACTTAAGAAAAGATTCAAAATATTGAATAAGAGTTCTACTGGCCCACCTTAGAACAGTATAAATTATATAAAAAACATGTTAATATAAGGTTATTGCAGAAGGTGCCCATGATGATGAAGTACACGCCTGGTCACTCCAGCCTCTCCCCATGCAAATTCCATCTCTCCAGTTCTTTGGGGTCTATCCTTGGACCCTCCTAAGCTAGCATGGGCTACTCTGCTAAACAAATACCTAAGAATGACCTTGTTCCTCTGTTGTTTGGTTGCATTGATGACATTCTTTCTTTTCTGTTATTATTTGCTTCAGTGCTCCAGAACCTGAAACGGAAGATGCCAGAATCCCAGTTGAGAAACTTCCCCGGTGGGTAAAAACCTTTGATTAGCATTTGTGTTCAGATTGGGGGAAAAAAATCAGAAATCAAGACCTAAACATTTTAATTTCAGTGAAATGTCCCTTAACATAATTGTACAAATGCAGAAACTAGCCCTGACCCATGAGGCCAAGTGTGAAAAGACAAAATATTCAGTTTTTCTAGTGGATCCTGGAGAGTGTGGTTCAAGGCAGGACTTGAGAGAGACATGAATCAGAGAAGAAACGGAAGGTCACTGATGAACTTAGGGGTGGTTTGTGTATTAGAGGCAAATCTGAGGCCAGTGTTTCACCCAGGTCTGGGTAACTGAGTACGGCTGTGCCACTGAGTAAAATGAAGTAGCAGAAAGAAGACTTTTTAGTAACAGAAGGTTAAGTTCAGCTGAAAAAATGTCCACACAACTTGGTGCACAGAGTCGAGAGAAAAACGTAACAGGACAGCTCACCTTAGCCCTTCATTCATGTCCAGGACGAGGTCATACTGGGATAAGAAGGATCAGAGGTGACCCTTCTGGCTGGCCTGGGTTTGGGGTGGCCCCAGCCTTCCTCCATCCACCTGTGAGCCTACCTGGCAGGTTGGCTGGGGTGACTTAAGGATCACGTTCTTCCAGGTGTGAAGAGGCAGGGTGTGGGGGCCTGCTGCGACCTCACGTGGTGTGGTTTGGAGAGAACCTGGATCCTGCCGTTCTGGAGGAGGTTGACAGAGAGCTGGCACTCTGTGACTTATGCCTGGTGGTAAGTCACACCCTTCCCTAGTCTCCAGGGTCTTCTAACACACTAAAGATGGGAAGGAGTTTGTTCTCGCCTCCCCCCTCCCTCCTTTCCTCAAAGAAGTATGTGGAGAAGTCTTGTGGTGTCCTACAGAAAAACTAAGAAACAATGAATAAGAGTTGACCTTAAGATGCGAAACTAATGTTGTCTTGTCTGCAACATTAAAAAAAGAACATGTCATTGATTGAGACTTTAGGTATAATCCATGCTCATTATTAAAGTTCATTGATAAAAGGAGAAAATTTTTAAAAATTAAGAAAATCAAATTATAAAATGGAAATTAGAAATCATCATTCTGAAATTGGTATGTTTTCCTGTAGACCAGGGGTGAGCAAGCTGCAGCCTGCAGGCCAAATCTGATCTACGCCCTGTTTTGTGAATAAAGTTTTATTGGAACACAGTTGTGGCTGTTCTTCCGCACACTGTCTCTGGGTGCTCTCACACTACAATGGCAGAGACAGGAGGCCTGCAAGGCCCGAGACACTTACTTATGTAAGTGTCTAGAAAGTCTGCCCACCGCTCTTCTAGACCTTTCCTTATGCAGATACATGCACATTGATTACTATTAAAAAAATGAGTTCTTGAAATATTTTCTGTCTTGAAACTGATTTATTTACCTAGAAATTCACTCAGCATATTCCATGTCAGTGCATCTGAATCTGAGTCACCTTTTAATTGCCTGCATGATCTCCATCACGTGGATATAAAATGATGCACTGAATTAATCCTGTACAGTTGGACATTTTGGGCTGTTTGAAAATTTGGTATTTTAAACACTGCTGTAATGAATATCCTTAGATATAAATCGTAGCAAGCTCTTTAATTTCCTTAGGACACATTTTCTAGGAGTGAATTAACTAGCCAAAGCATATGAATATTTCCAAATTTCCTTTATCTGTCTTTAAAAACAAAGGTGCTTTCTGGTGGGTACACATCCATTTAGCCAGTGTCTGATCAGGTGCGCCCAGTGTTGAGCACCGTCAGCATTCATGACAGACTGTTCAGGAGAAAGGCTGGTTCTTGCCCAGTCTTTCCATTTCTATAAATGATGTTTATAAGTATATTTTATAAGGAAAGTCCTGAAAGGATATATATTAAAATGTTGACAATGGTTATCTTGGGGTACTAGGATTATGGGTGAAATACATATTTTTTCTTCATATTTCCAACTTTAAAAAAGAATATGGATTATCTGTATAACTTCAAAGAGCAAAAACAAAACCAAAGCTCTACCTCAAAACATGTCAATTGGGTCATTTCTTTGCCACTGTGTCCACTTGCCTAACTCTCCCTTCTACGTCACACATTCTTTCCAATCAAGTGATTGGCTACAAGGACACCTCTTAACTTCCAGCGTGTCCCCTGGACACCCCGCACTGTGTCTCCTGCAGCTTAGCTTTTCCCACACCTGCAACCACAGACCTGCCTGAATCTACGTAAGGTTCTCTGAAAAACTGTTTCTCCTCCCATAGTATGGTCACTGTCCATTTCTGTGTGCTTGCCTTGTAGGTGGGGACTTCCTCTGTGGTCTACCCAGCAGCCATGTTCGCCCCCCAGGTGGCCTCGAGGGGCGTGCCAGTGGCCGAGTTCAACACGGAGAGCACCCCAGCCACAGACAGATTCAGGTACAGGGAGGACCGAGGGGCGACGGGAGGTGGAGGACAGGCTTAGGAGACTGTGTGGGGAGGGGTGGAGCCTGGTTTGTGTTTTCTTTTTTGGCTGTAGTTGCTTTTATGGAAGAACAATATCACTGACTGCAGATTAGGGAGACTGTACCCGGGATTCACCACCTGGCTCTGTGTCCTCTAGACGTCACTGTCATTTGCATATTCCTGTGATCTGGCCATAGCAGTGCTTACCAGGTCGGCCTGGGCCAGACCTCGAGGAACCTCATCGTCTGCTGTTCTCATTGTGAGGCAACCTAGGTTTTCTTTGGTCTAATCACCAAGAACATTTGTATTTGTGGCCATGGTATGGTACTTTTTCCTGTTTCCTAAATTTGTGTGCAACGTGCAGATCTCTGTAGTGCACATTGTAAGTCTCAGTGAGACAGGGTCTCACTGAGTTGCTTAGGGCCTCCCTCTTACTGAGGCTGCCTTTGAACTTGCGATCCTCCCGTCTCAGCCTCCCGAGCTGCTGGGATTGCCGGAGTGCACCACAGTGCCCGGCTTACTTTTAACTCTTGTTAGTGTGTTTAATTCTTCTCTAGAATAAAATAGAATATAAATAAGTAATAAATAGAAATAAATAAAACACAGACTTCACTGAAACTTCCTGTCATTAAGCAGTGGTTTTCCACAGTGGCTGCATATTTAAAAAAATACTGATGCCTAGGTGCCACCCCGTGAGACTCTGATGTCACTGATCTGAGGGGTGCCCTGAGCATCACAGGTAATGCTAATGTGCAGGTAGGGTGAGAATCACTGCTCTGGGTCTTCACCGGGATAGAAACAGGGTCCCCTTCAGGTGAGCTGACAGACGTGGGCCCGGTCTTTCCATGTAAACCTATCATCAGGACAGACTCAGTCCTTGGTCCACAGTTATTCATTTGCATGTAAGTGCTGAGTACGAGATGACAGTTTTTTAAAAGAATTGTCTTCTGTGCGAAACTGATGCTCTAACAATTATAGAATGTTATTGAAAGACATAAAGACCTAAATAAACAAAAATATATCCCATGTTCATGGACTGGACAACTTAATATCATTAAGATGACAGTACTCCCCAAATGATCTATTAGTTCAACCCAGTTCCTATCAAACTCACAGCAGAAATTAACAAGATGGTCCAAAATTCCTACGAAAATTCAAAGAAACCCAAGTGGCCAAAGAAAAAAGAACAAAGTCAGAGAACTTATATGTCCTAATTTCAAAACTTACCACAGGGACTGGGGCTGGGGCTCAGGGGCAGAGTGCTTGCCTAGCACATGTGAGGCACTGGGTTCAATCTTCAGCACCACATTAAAAAAAAATAAACAATCAAGTTATTGTGTCCATCTACAACTAAGTTTTTAAATATCTTTAAAAACTTACTGAAGAGTTGCTTTAATCAAGATGGTGTGGGCAGATACATAAAGTCAGTGGAACAGAGCTGAGAGTTTAGTCAGAAGCTCTCATGTTTGTGGGCAACTGATCTTTGCAAGGACTGCTGGGGCAATTCAGTGGGGGGAAGAAGAGTCTCCTCAGCACCGTGCTGGAGAGCCACAGGCAAGAGTGACGTCGGACCCCTTCATGACAGCATCCACAAAGCCGGATGCTGGACCTCACACCTCAAAGTAGGAGCTAAACCATAAGCTCCTTAGAAGAAGATCTAGGAGTAAATCTTTGTGACCTTGTGTTAGTTAAAACACAAGTAAAAGTCACATGAGAAAAATGGGTAAATCAGAATTTGGAAGTCTAATATTTGATATTTACAATATGTAAAGAACTGTTACAATTCAAAAGACAATTGTGGATTCACTTAAAAATGGTCCGAAAATTTAAAAAGATATTTCTCCAAATATATGCACATGGCCAGTAAGCATTTACAATGATGGTCAACATCTTTAGTCACTGAGGAAATGCAAATTAAAATGACAATACGATACCACTTTACAACTACAAGGATAGTCATAATTTATAAAAAGAAGAAAAATAGCAAGTGTTGCTGAAGACATTAGGGTCCTCTTACATTGATGGTGGGAATGGACAGTGGTATAGCTGCTTTGGAAGCAGTCTGGCAGTTTCATGGTGAGTTACCATGGGACCCACTGGTTCTTCTCCTTGGTATACAGCCCTGGAAATGAAAGCATGTCTATACAAAAATTTGTATGGGGCCAGGCACAGTAGCTCATGCCTGTAATCCCAGCAGCTTGGGAGGCTGAGACAGGAGGATCACGAGTTCAAAGTCAGCCTCAGCAAAAGTGAGGAGCTAAGCAACTCAGTGAGACCCTGTCTGCCAATAATATACAAAAAAGGGCTGGGGATGTGACTCAGTGGTCAAGTGCCACTGAGTTCAATCCCCAGTACCAAAAAAAAAAAAAAAAAAAGAAAAGAAAAAAGAAAAAGAAAGCTGGTATATTACAAAAATTAAATTGCCTTCTAACTTATCCACTGGCAAATGGACATTAGGGCTCCCTCTGATTTGCACTGTGTCACATGTGTGTAGCAACTGTCTGCTTAGCATCACTGCAAGTGACATCAGAGCCAGGAAACTCAAGCCTCTCATCTGAACACTGATGAGTGAACAGATGAACTTACTGAAGCACTGTTCCCATTCAATTCTGCTAATGTGGCTTGTTTTTAGCCATTTGATCTCCACCTCATTTCTAATGATTATAAAGAATTAAAACAAATCATCATTGCAGAAGTTTTGTAAGAAAATGCAGAGAGGAAAAAGAAGAAAAGAAAACTTGGGTCTTTTCTTAACCCAAGATTAGAAGTGGGCCACCTCTCTCCTGCTGTGGATGGACGGGCAGCAGCAAGGTGCCCGTTGTGTATGGTGGCCATGTCTCCTTGGGAAGGACACTGGATGAGAGAATGCTTCCTGCAAGTTAAGAAGGGACTTTTGGCACATAGCACATATTGTCACACAGGTCCAGCCTCCTAAACCAGCTGCTGCCACTTCAGTCATTCCCCAGCTCCCGATTGTTTTGAGAACCTGCGATGTCTGCTCAGACACACAGCTTTCTTGCTAGTTGGAAGCCCTTACCAGTGAGACAGGCTGCGAGAATCATCATCGTGTGTGGGTGTCTCTGGGGAGCAGTGGTGGCTGCCTGTGCCTCTCGTCAGACTGTCCCCTGATGAGTAGTCTGGTGGGGGAAGCCAGCCCAGCTTGCAGCTCAGGGTTATCAGGCTGAAGTGTAGAGGAAGGCCTGCAACCAGCCCCTGATCCTGCTCAAACGTTCCCCTGGGGAAACCAGTCCTCGAGCAACAAGTTTAAACACACAGCTTCACGATGTTGGTTTTTTCTTTTCCATCTCAAGCTTAACAGATTTTCATTGAACTTGTTCCTTTTCCTTTTCTTTCTTTCTTTTGGTCAGCTTTAAAGCCCTTCTGTTCGAGCAGGGATCAGTTTGGAGCTCACCTTTCTTGCATGCTCTACTGCGGTATCGGTTGAGTATCCCTAGTCCAAAAATCCAACCAAAATGCTCTAACGTCCCAAACTTTTTGGACACTGACATGATGCCACAACTGGAATACTTTCTACCATGAAACTTTGTTTCATGCAGAGAATTACTTAAGATATGGTATAAAATGACCTTCAAAACTATATATTACCAAATTTGAAATGCATAATACTTCCAGTCCTGAAGCCTTTTAGATATTCAACCTATCATTTCTGATAGTTTATGCTTTTACAAAACAAAATTCCTTGGTGAGTAAAAAAAGCAGTAATCCACTCAAAGAAATTAAGACACTTTGTGGCTTACCCTGGGGAAGCCGGCTGTCTGTGTCTTCTATTCCATTCTGAGGAATCACGGGGAAGATTTTTACTGGCCAACCTAGATATATACTTTTTTGTTGTCAATTGTAAGTCTTGCTTTTTGCATTGCATAAACGTAGGTACTGAGGAGCCCGGGCCACATAAGCTCAGCACTGAAGGGCTTTTGTCACAGCATTGCCCCTCTACTGCCTTATCCAAGTAATGGGTGGTGGTGTGCTTTTGTGTCCTATTTAATGTCTGTTGGTTCTATGAGACCCCAATCAGCTTTACCCAAGACAAGAAGGAAACCACCCTACCTGCCTAGGGATGAGCCCCCAAGCCTCTCTCTTCTCAGGTCTATGCCAGTTTCTAAATGACCCTTTATTTTTACCCCCTGCCATTTGACACTCAGGATGGGACACCACTGTAAGATCTGAGGCAGGTGGGGGTTCAGCATGCTTTTGTGAACTAAGAAAGGGGCCCTCAAAGCCACTTTCTTTGGAAAGAGAATATATGGAAGTTGAGGGTCTGAGAATTCCCTAAAAGCTCTCCATGACTGGCTGTGGGTAGGATTTGTCCATGAAGTAGCCGCCATCAGAGAACAGTGGACTTGGAGGCTGAGGCATTCACGATGTGTGCTATGTCAAGAATAAATAATATGAATAGCGAACTACGTTGAGGAAAGGCCCTTTCTGTTGTAATTTTGCTTAACTGGTTTCCTCATTAATAATGCATTTGAAAGTTCTGCTTTTGTTTTTTATTCATAGTTTATAGGATATTCTTCCTGTCCTACATGTTTTTCCTTAAAGGAAACACAAACCATTGATTTTTCTTCTTTTTTCTCCCTCCTCTTCCTCATTCTCATTTTCTACTTTCTTTTCTTTTTCCTTAACTTTATTTTTTATTTTTTGGTAGTACTAGGAACAGCAGCCAGGGCCTTGCACGCCAGGCAAGCGCTCTGCCACAGAGCTACCCCTCAGCCTTTTCTACTTTCTAAGTCAGAGGCTGCTCAGAAAGTCCAGGGGATGGTTTGAGAGGTTTGTTGACTCAGCTAAAATCCTGGTCTGGGCGGTGCCTGAGGTTTCGTCCCTCTTATGTACACGTGAATGCTCTCTGAATATCTATGTGTGTATTAAAATTATAAATTGACAAATTATAGTTGCAAATATATTATGCATATATTTATAGGATACAAGGTGATGCTGTGATTTACGAATACAGTATGAATAATTCACTCAAGCTGTTCCATCTCAAATCCTTATTTTTTTTATGGGGAGAACATTTGAAATATATGCTGAGTAATTTTGAAAGGTACAATACAGAATCGTTTACGGTCTCCACCCCATTATGCCATATACACAAAGAAAAAGCCTCTGCTCTCCCTCCTGTCTGAGGCTTTGTGCCCATTAGCCGGCATCTCCCCAGTTCCCACCCCAGATAGTAACTCTGTTCGGCCTCTCTGGGTCACATGGTTTTAGATCCTGCCTGTAGGGGAGGATGTGTGGGATCTGTCTTTCTGTGCTGGCTTAGTTCAGGTGGCCTTATGTTCTCCGTTTCCATCCACATTGCCACAAGTCCCTGAACTTCCTGAAGGCTGAAGTACTCCACGGTGCTTCTAGACCACGTTTTCTTTACCCATTCATCTCTGGACGAATACTTACTTTTGATTCCATAACTTGGCCATTGTGACTAGTGCTACAGTGTACATGGGGTGTGCCTGTCTCGTCACCATGTAGATGCCCAGAGTGGAATGACTGGATCATGTGGAAACTGTTTGGTTTCTTGAGGAACTTCCACAGTTTCCATAATGGCTGGACTAACTTATGTACCCACCACCGATGTACATGTGTTCCCTTTCCTCTATATCCCGACACTTGTTATTGTTTGTCTTTTTGATAAGTCATTTTGACAGATGTGAGGTATCTTATTGTGCTTAAATAATACAATATCTAATTAGGCATTATCTAATCAGATAATAGTAAGGTATTATCTGATTAGATAATACCTAATGATTTAGCAATACTGAGCATTCTTCAACTCCCTGTTGGCCACTGGTATGTCCTCTTTTGAGGAATGTCTATTCAGGCCCTTTGCCCATTTTTTAATCAAATTATTTGCTTTCTTTCTATAGAACTGTTTGAGTTCCTTGTATATTTTATATATTAACCCCTTATGAGACATATGGCTTGTAAATATTTTCTCCCATTCAAAATAATTTGCCATGAGTTGTTACTTCATTCTGTTGATTGCTTTCTTTATTGTACAGAAACTTTTTATTTTGGTGTAATCTCACTTGTCTAGTTTTGCTTTTGTTGTCTGTTTGCCTAGACCAAGGTCAAGTATTCCTCCAACCCCCATGTTTTCTTCTAGTAATTTTATAGTCTCAGGTCTGTTTAATCCATTTGCAACTGATTTTTGTATACAGTGCAAGAGAAGAGTCCAGTTTCATTTTCTACATGTGGATATCCAGTTTCCCACACCATTTTTAAAAGAGACTGTTCTTTTCCTATCATATGGTTGGCACCTTTGTCAAAAATCAATCACCTAGGCACGGTGGAGCAAATCTGAAATACCAGCAGCTGGGGAGGCTGAGACAGGAGAATCACAAGTTCAAAGCCAGGCTCAGCAAAGGCAAGGTGTTACACACTCAGTGAGACCCTGTCTCTAAATAAAATTCAAAAAGAGGGCTGGGGGTGTGGCTCAGTGATCCAGTGCCCCTGAGTTCAATTCCAGTACCAAAAAAGAAAGAAAAAGAAAAAAATCAATTGACCAGTTGGGCATAGTGGCACAAGCCTGTGATCCCAGCAACTTGGGAGGCTGAGGCAGGATGAGCACAAATTGAAAGCCAGCCTCAGCAACTTAGTGAGGCCCTAAATGATTTAGTGAGACCCTGTCTCAAAATGAATAAATGAAAATGGCTGGAGATGTGGCTCGGTGGTAAAGCACCCCTGGGTTCAATCCCCAGTGCCAGGGAACAAACTTGACCCCAGATGCATGGACTGTTTCCAGGTTTCTTCCATTCCATTGGCCTTGTGGCTCTTTTAATGCCTATTTTTGCTGCTTTAATTACTATTGCTTTATAGTATATTTGAAGTGATTTAGTGCAATGCTTCCAGCTTGTTCTCTTTGTCATGATCGCCTCGGCTATAAAGAGTCTGTGTGTTAAGCAGGGTGGGGTGGGGTGTACTATATGAATTTTAAGATTTTTCCTCTATTTCTGTGAAAAATGGCATTGGAATTTTGAGGGTGTTGCATGATGATAATTCTTCCAATCCATGAACATAGGATATCTTTCTATGTAATTGTCTTCATATAGATATATGTATGTATATTCATATGCAGACACATATTTCAGCTATGAATCTGGCACTACAATCACAAATTACACTTTACAACCCTTTACACTTCCCTACCCATTAAATAAACTTCTGATTCGAAGCACACAGAGGCCAATCTCTTGCTTCTCTAGAATCCCTCAGTCACCCATCATCAAGTGGCATCTTGAGTTGTCAGGGGCTGAAGGAGTGAATCTGAAATACCATATCTGAGAATCCAGATCTTACTCTGGGTGTGACTGAGAAGTGTGTGATGTTCTGCAATTTTACGTTCCCTTTGCTAACTCAGAGCTCATACTGTGCTGTATTTGGCCCTTCCATTCAGGTTTCATTTCCATGGACCCTGTGGAACAACTCTTCCTGAAGCCCTTGCTCCGCATGAAACTGAAACTATTTCCTAAGTGCCCTGGGGAAGGAAGGAATGATAGTATATCAAGAACTAGGCCATGAAGAGGAGAAATGATCTTGTGGATGGTGAGCTGAGTATTGGAAGATCTAAAAATATCCTTGTGCCTCTGGCTGGAATCCACCCTGTTAAGTGACTGGGCTTAGAAGTAGTAAGAGCAAATGTATAAGCAAGAAGTCCGAGAACTGTAATGTTAATGCACGTTACTTGGTTTCAATGAACTCTAAGTGTCTTATGCTTGATGTGTTTGTTTGCTACTGGGAGGAGAAAATTTTGTAGTTAGACTGTCTACAAAAAAGTAATTATCTTGATTGTATTTTTGCTCGATGGGCAAAAATAGAAATAGAGAAGTAAAATCCTGGTACTTAATTCTGATTTTTACACAAGTTTTGGTGGAAAATGAAATCACTCTCTACAGTAGTTAATTTATCATATAAAAATGTTACCCTAAAAGATGTTGTTGGGGGCTTTTTCTTTTCAGTATTTGTTGGTTGCCTTACCTCAAAGAACACAGGATATTAGGATAACTTACAACACAAATGAATGCAAGGAAGGAAAAATGACACAGGAAGAAAGCAGATGAGGAAAAAAAGGCAAACATAAGGATCACCCAAGGATAAACACAGCTGCCTAAAATTTAGCTCGGGTTATCTTGGCAGGAAGAGCAGGGAAGGAAGAAGGAGAGGATGACCCTTGTTCAGCACTGAGGCAGGAGATTGATCATCTATAGGTAGACAGAAATGGGGACCTTGGAGAAGGGGATCCCACCACCCCAGACTAAAACCTGAGGCTCAAGCTTGTCTTTGGCAGCCTGACTGGAGGCCCCGTTCAGCTTGGTGCCACACATTCTGTTGTCGCCCTAGGCTTCCTTAACGACCCTAACATCAGTCAACCCCAGAGGGTTGTTTTGAACCCAAGCAATTCTTTTCAGCATACAGGACAAACTCAGGTTAACAAACACATTAAACCATCTCATTATGGGAATAAGAAATTAGAATTGCATGCCTTCAATTGAGTCAGAAAAAGAGGACAGTCAAGAGAGACTTTCCAATGAAACTTTAGTTCTTCATCAAAACAGCATAAAAAGCCCTAGACAGAGAGCCACCAAAGATACCCTCTCTGGGACCCTTTCCTTGCTTGCTTCTACTAAATCTGCTACTGAATTCTCATCCCCCATCATCCGGGTACTTCTTTCTTGGGGTGTGTGAGACAATATCCCTTCCAACACTCACCACCTTATTATGTTAGAGCATCTTCCAGGAAGATGCATACAGCCCCTGGGGGGTTCGCAAGCCCTCCCTGGTACTGAATTCTGATGGGAGTTTCCCCCTGGGTCTTTAATAATGACACCCTTATTACCTTGGACTAGGGAAGTAAGACTACTACTCTTTACTCAAACGCCACAAGCTAGTGGGCTCTCAGGGCCCTTGGCTTACCTGAAGCTGGGCTGTGAGGGGGCCCGAGTTCAAGTGTATGCAGGTCATACATAAGACCATCCCTTGGATTAGGTGGGCTTCCCCTGAGTGATTACAGACCTCTGCCATGTCACCTCAGCCCCTTGAAGAATTAATGTTATGCCCTTAGGTTTATAGTAACAGGTGACAAGCCACTGCATATGAATGTCTTTGTATTTAATAAATCCCAAAGGTCCTTTGTGTGCAAAGAGGGATGGTCACCGCCTACAGGAGACTGGAGAACCAACTAAGCACCCTGAGGAGTCAGTTCCCCCTTTAGCTGGATGGGTCAGGAGTATAAACTGAGGGGACAGGTGACACCAGTAATAAAGTGATGCTGGGATGCAGTTTTTAAGTGCAGTACTATCAGGCACTTAATAGGTTTGTTGTTGGACTCCTCCAGGTTAATTTTATGCATTTTCTGAGTGTTAGCAACTGTGGAAGTCAACACACTCTCAAGAAGTCTAAATGTTTTTGTTTTGTAATTTCTATCTGACCAAAGACCAGAGATTTCAGATCTTTTTTTTTTTTTAGTTTATTTTTTGGTACCAACAGCTTTGTTTATTCTTGTGTCTTGTCGTTTTTTTCATACGGTTTTGTTATTTTAAAACTGGGAACTGCTTTGAAATCCAAGAGATGAAAGGAGATTAAAAATATCAAATATAAGTGAGAATTATTCAGTTCGAAGGGGCATTTACTGAACATCCTACCATATGATGGTCATTATAAGTGAAATGATCAGCAAGGCCTGCGTCTTACCCTCCAGTTCACGGCGTGGTTGGAACCACCACCGTAAACTTACACAGTGTGGAAAGTGCAGCAGTAGACGTCAGTGCAAGGCTCCAGGTTCTCACAGGTCTGGAGATCGTGGGAAGTCATTCATTGAGCCCAGTGTCCCCGCCCCCGGGCTCGAGAGCCGGGAGTGCACAGCCCCAAAGTGCAGCAATAGACGTCAGTGCAAGGCTCAGAGAAGGCAATCAGAGCTCCACCAGCAGCGACGAGTGGACGGTGCTGGAACTCGCCTGGGGGGAGCTTCTGAGTGCAAGAGGGAGTTCTGGTGGGGAGTGTGCGTCAGCAGAGGGCACAGCGCAGGGGCACGGCACGCGGGAGGCCGCTGATTCGTTGGGAGAATGAGTAATCAATCATATTGTACAACGGGTGGGAAAGACAGACGGATCGCGAGGCCTCTGTGCATAGACAATACACGGGGTGGGGGCAGAACGAGCGCGCGCCACGTTCAACGTGACGGTGTCCTGCGCTCCACAGGGTCGCACTCCCATCTGCGGCGGCTGAAGGTCAGTCGCGGGCGGGAACCGACGAGGGTTCTACACTCACCAAGCGTCTGTTCTCCTGGGGTGCCACACAGACCGAGCGGCTGCGCGGCCGAGGTCGCCAGGCGCGCGTCTGATGCTGAGGATTTAGCTAAGCCAGGCTGTGTCCCCGGTGGGTGACAGCAGGAGGGAGGGCATCGGCGTCCTTCCGCTAGAGCGCACTTCTTCCCGGTGGAAGCTGCGAGGCGCTTGGAGCCATACCCACAAATACCGATGAACTTAGGACCTAACCGAACCCAGTGCTAAAAAAGGCAGCGACAAGCGACCAATGCCTGGCACCGGACAGCGAACATTCCCGCAGCGGAGGAGGGCAGCCCGACCTGGGCAGCTGCGGCGCCCCGGGAGCTCGCGCGTTCAACTAGCCTGTCGCGAGAGAACGCGCCCCTGCATATTTGGGCCACGCCCCATGGGAATAGGCCCCGCCCCTCATCTTGCGCATGCGCTTCAGTGACCTGGGGGCCTCCAAACCTGCAGGGGGCGATAAAAGTTCATGTCGCTTACTCTTCCAAGCCGCGCTCTGCTGGCTGCTGTTTCCGGGTCAGAAGTCAGACTGATCGGCGCCGCGTGAGCCATGGTGCAGCTCCGGCCGCGCGCGTCCCGCACCCCCGCGTCGGCGGAGGCGATGGTGGATGAGGGCCAGCCGGCCTCGGAGGAGGCGGAGCACGGCCTGCTGCTCGGGCAGCCCAGCAGCGGTGCGGCCGCCGAGCCCTTGGAGGATGAGGACGGGGAAGACGAGCTTGACGACGAGGCCCCAGAGGAGCTGACCTTCGCCAGCGCCCAGGCCGAAGCGAGAGAAGAGGAGCGGCGGGTGCGCGAGACCGTGCGCAGGTTCGGAGCCGGCGGGGAGCACGGGCGCTTGCGACGCCTCGGCCCTGCCCGCTGACCCGCGTCCTTTCTCCCAGGGATAAAACGCTGCTGAAGGAGAAGAGGAAGCGGCGCGAGGAGCTGTTCATCGAGCAGAAGGTGGGAGGGCGGCGGGGCGCCGCGTTCTGCAGCCACCTTGCCGGGTGGGGCGCGCTGTCGCGCGGGGCTGCCGACCTGGTGCACGGGAGACGGCGTTCGAGCCGCGCACGGCCGGGCCGAGACGCCGGGGCCCTCCGCTGCCCACCTCGGAAACGCGGGTGGACGAGCTGTGAACGCGAAACGCCCCGGTCGTTGGGCGTCGCGGCGGTGGTTTCTCCCGTCGGAGTCTCGGTCGCCGAGATGAAACGGGGCCATTTGTGAAGGGAGTTGGTTCAGACGCAGGGTCTGGTCGCTTCGCTGTCTCGTGTGGGCAGCTCGGAGAAGTGCCTCCAGGTGGTCATGCTTAAAGTCCTTTCAACTCCTAAGTGACCCGAGGGGGGGAGCTGAGGACACCCTCCAGGTTCTCACAGGTCTGGAGAGCGTGGGAAGTCATTCATTGAGCCCAGTGTCCCCGCCCCCGGGCTCGAGAGCCGGAGTGTCCTGCCCCAGAGTCCGGCTGCCCTTAAGATGGGGACTTGTAACCAGGCGTCGTCTTACGCACCGTACTGATTCTTTAATGTCTTTTTTTTTTTTTCCTGAAAGAAAAGAAAACTACTTCCAGATTCTCTTCTAGAACAGTTAACTGCAGCGCCGCACACCGAGTGAGTACTGGACCTTGTTATGTTCTTGCTCACACGTAGCCAGCCATCTCGGAACTCCAGGCTGCAATCCACCCATGTAATTGAAGGAATTACGGAACCTAAGTTAATAAGCTTCACAATGGTGATATTTGAATTTGGTGGAGAGAGGGAAATATGGCACTTTTTAGGCTTAGTTTTGTTTATTCCCCTAGATAACTCTAGCTTCTGAGTTCCTAATCGCAGTGTATTCATTGAATAAAGTTTGTTGAGCACTTTTTGCAGTTGGGGCAAAAAAGGATAGACCGTGTTGAATACAAGTGTTTTAATATTTAGTGGAGTGCAAGACAGTTACCCAGCAAGCTCCTAAAACTCAGCTTTTCTCAATCTTGCCTTACCTGCCACTGTTCTTCCTCTTTTCCCCATTTAGTGACTTTGCCATCCACGACATTTAAAAGTCAGCAGTTGTCATCTCCCTCTAGTTCATGGACTCGAGACCGACTGAATTTATAGACTTAATTTGTTTTGTTTTTTTGTCATCCCTCTTGGCTCCCCTTAACTGCTTTAAGTTCAAAAGTTTAACCCCCTTCTATGTAGGCCAGTAGTTTCCAACTTTTTATTAAAAGAAAGTTTTCTAGAATTTTTTTTTTCCTTTTTTTGGTACAGGGGATTGAACTCAGGGACACTCAAACACTGAGCCACATCCCTGCTCTCTGTGTTTTATTTAGAGACAGGGTCTCTCTGAGTTGCTTAGGGCCTTGCTTTTGCTGAAGCTGGCTTTTAACCCAAGATCCTCCTACCCTCAACCTCCCCAGCTGCTGGGATTACAGGTGTGTGCCACAACACCTGGCCAATTCATATCTTAAATACATATGTAGCTCCAGTTGTTGATTTTTTCATCATTTTAAAATCAACTTAAAGTGTCACCCTCTTTTGACTTCCTCCTTTGTTGCAAATGGTTCTGCATTGTACTCTGTATACTCATACTGTATTTGTCATCAGTCTGATCCTTTTCTCCAGTGACTATAAACTGTTGAATTATCCTCTGTGATTTCTCCAAGTGTGAGATTAGGCCTACCTTTGGTTCTATTAATTCTGTTCAAGACACCATTCTACTGCTTTGAAGCCTAGTAATATGCTTTCAGATTTAAATCCTGAGAAGATACTGTGATCCTTATAATACTAGATCATTGATTGAGAATTGGTATGGTGCATTGCAGAAAGCCTTTTGCTTTCCCAACACTGAGAGATCCTGAGTAAAAATTGAGGATGGTGATAATGGGGCGGGGGGGGGGGGAGCGAAAGCCCGCATTACATAAAGCCAGGAATTGTGTAGCATGTTTTAAGTATTGTGCCATTGCAATCTTTTTCTCTTCTTTTTCTTCCCTTAGCATAAAGAAATCACCAGGAAAGTTGAAAGAAGGTATGAATTGTTCTCATTTATGAACTTCTCCTGTGTCAAGTACATTTAAAAATATTTTAGTTCAGTGTTACTTGGCCCTTCCTTAGCACTGGCCTAGGTCTAGCCAAGGTTAGCATAAGTCTGTGACCTCTGCTTCTTATAAATAAAACCTATACCCAGGTAAGTCTGTAATAGAGACTTAAAAGTAAGCTTAAATGCTAACCAGAAAATGGAACTCAATTTTTCAGTTAATTTGCAAAAGAAAAACGAAGAGTGTGAAAAAGGAAGTGACTCCAAGAAAGTTAAAGTACAAAAAGTACAGTCTTCCAGGTAATCCCCCTGCCCCCCTATAAAAGAAACTGATAAAAGCATTAGCTTGGCTTGTGTGGGAAAATATTTTAATTACCAGCACTTTCAGATTGGATCCTTTGCAAAAAAAAAAAATATATGTATTATATAAAGTACACGTTTACTTGCTATGCGAAGTTGTGACTATTTCTTATAAAACCACCCTATACTTTAAATTACTATTTGAAATAACAAAAATAATTCCTTTTAAAATAAGCCAAAGCCAAGGAGGGGTGTCTATGTGGCTCAGTGGGAGACCCTCTGCCTGGCACATGGGGAGGTGCCCTGGTTGGTCCCTAGCACCACAAAAGAATAAAGCTGTTTATGAAAGCGCATGTCATTTATTTTGATCTTTTGTGTTGATCACCAGCCAGAAAAGCTATTTAGCCCTAAGGCTAAAAGACCAAGATCTGAGAGATTCAAGGCAACAAGCCGCCAAAGCCTTTATACATAATTGTCTGTACGGCCCAGGAACCAACAGAACTACTGGTAATCTGCTTGTGGACTATTTTTGCTCATTTTTTACTGCAAAATAAACAAGGAAATGATAAATGATTCTCTTTTTTAGTAAATAAGTTTCTGTCTCTTGACAACAAGAGGTTACCAGTGAAAAAGGCTGCAGCCCAGTTTTTGAATCATGCTTGGGGTAAGATTCAGCTCTATTTTCAGCTCTGATACTTTTGTAAGTTGAATGTTCTTTTGAGGACAATAGTTTGTAATGATAATTGAACAGATCTAGTTTTATATCCCATTCACATGAACCAGAGAATCTTCAAAAGAATGTCTTGAATTTTACATCTCTCAGGAATTTTAACTAATATTTAATATTCTTATATAAAACTTTCTATTCCAGGAATCCAGAAAAAACAAAACGCCAAGAGGTTTAAACGACGGTGGATGTTCAGAAAGATGAAAACTAATAAATCAAAGTAAAAGCCAAATAAAGAATCTGTACTTTGTATGTAGAGAATTTAGAGCATTCATTTCTCTTACAAAAACCTTTTTAAGGTGTCATTATAAAAACCATAATAAGTCTGTGTTTGGAGAAATATTTAACTGTATTTCATCTTTCTGGAATATGATCATGCCTTCTCATCTTTGAGAGCCCTGAAAGAAAAAGTAGTCTTAAAATAACTATTTTCCTTTTTTTTTTTTTTTTTCAATCCAGTAAACGAAGACAGTCTTAGGTGTCTGGGTATCAAACTCAGAAGCAGTTAATACCATCGACATTAATTGCTCTAGTTCTACATTAACTATAAACGTATACATATGCCTAATATATATAAACTTGACTGACACGCTAGTATCTGTAGAAGTAAATTTTTAATGGCTGGTTAATTATATCACTACATTTTTATTGCAGTATAGTACTCATTTAAGCACTTAAAAATGGAAGGTGTACAAAGATTAAATTAAGACACAGTAAATTGACTAAATATTTGGTTTTTATATAAATAAAGGTCATAACCACACTGTTGACATGTAATACTGTTATAATACAACAGTTAAACTTGTGAGTCTACAACAGAAGTCATCTGTAATTAAACAGGAAACAAAGTTGAAAAGACCATGTTAAAACCAAACTACTGGGACTAACAGGTTGGGATTGTAAGTAGCAACGAACATATTCACTCAGCTCCTGAGTATTTCAAGTTTTACAGTACACATTAAAAATGATTTCTTCCATCAACACTATAAATTCAAACTGTCGGATGTTTATGCATTTTGCAAGTTACACTGATTGAATGCTTATATGGGAGCGGGGGTCGGAACATCTCCCAATTTGAAGTTTACATCACCCACATGCTAACACAAACACAACTTGTTCCATTTCCTCTCCCCTTCTTCTCCCCACAAAGAAGGCAGGACTTTTTGGTTTGTTTTAGGTAATTTTTTAAAGGATTTCTGATGATCGATTTGAATGTCTGAAATTCAGTAATATTTAACTCTTAGACAACTAAGAGGTTAAAGATGGAAAATAATTTCTCCTAACACTAAGTTAGAAAATCATTTGCATCATGCTGTAAACTAGGAAGCAATGTAAAGCGACAAAAACCTGTCCCCAGTACATAATTAAAAAAATCTAAATTTCAAATCAGCCGAGCTGGTCTAACTTCCATGTTGACTATATGCCACAATATAAGTGTGAGCTCTTGAAATGCATAGCTAATGTAGGTAGTCTTCCACTGTGGCAAATGCACAGGAGCCAATTCCTGATCGAGCCATCAGTCCTAGACATTGTGTGGCCTGTCCCATTGCTAGGGCAAGTGGAGGTTGCTTTGGCAGATTGTGGGTTTCTGAGGAAAAAGGATTTAAAAACAGAAACAGCAGTAAGACATTTTAAAAAATAATCAAGAAAACATTGTGTTTCCTACTCAAGTATCTGCCTATATGCTTCCTATGACCTCACTAGCAAAGGCAGAGTGATGCCTTGAACATACTGTTCTACCATACTGTTCCCGGGTGACCAACAGAGAAAAACTTGCAAAATCATGCTCTGAAAGTATCAGACACGTAACTATGTTGGGAAAGACAACTTATCTGACATTCGGTCTGGGGAGTAAGTAATATTTAATATTTCTCTTCTACTTGACCATAGTGGGTTGATATTAACCAGGGGGAGAACCAGGTTTTTATTAAGTTTCCAGTGATACCCACCCACCACCTTGAGAGGACAGAATTCAATTGAAGCTGCCTGCCTGCCCCCAAAGCATAGTGGTCAGTGATATTTGGGGTAGATAATAGTGATGTCAGAGAACATACAGAAGGATCACCCTAAAATTTTGGAGGGATCAACTTAAAATTGATAGTTCAGACACTTTAAAAAGTGGAAGTTTTTAGAGTGCTACATAGCATAAATTTGTCAGTTGGAGCAGAAGTGCAATGATTAACACATTTATTACTTGCAGAGACGAAAAAGTAAAGGTAAAAGTAGTCTTAACTCAGAAGCTGGTAATCTCTCTGTATGTTGACCGGTGTCCAAATTTATGGGAATTCTCAATTAGTAAGGGCAAATACAGAGATACACAGCTGATAAGGAGCCCCATATAATTCAACTCCCCTTGATTCAGAACTTGGAATAGCAACAGGCTGGGTGTGATGGTGCAAGTGGCTCAGGAGGCTGAGGCAGGAGGATTGTGAATTCAAGCCAGCCTCAGCAACTTAGATCCGGTCTCTAAATAAAATTTACAAAAGACTAGTGATTTGGGGCTGGGTTGTGGCTCAGCGGTAGAGCGCTCACCTTGCACGTGTGCAGCCCTGGGTTCGATCCTCAGTACCACATAAAAGTAAATAAATAAAATGAAGGTATTGTGTCCAACCACAATTAAAAAAAAAATTTTATATATATATATATATGTTTTTTTTTTTTTTTTAAAAGGACTAGTGATATGGCTCAGTGATTAAGCACCTCTGAGTTCAATCCCTGTAACCCCTGCCCTTCCCAAATTGCACTATGGTGATGAGTGAAAAAAAAAATACTTCCTAAAGAATCAAAGCAGGGAAAAAGGAAAAAAAAAAAAAAATCAAAAGCAAGCTTAGAATGTAAAGGTACAAGGGAAAAGGAAATGAGAATTCCTTGAAAAGTATTCAAGAAAAGGTACACAGACCAGTGAGAACAATACTCTTCAAAACATCTGTGGGTTAAGATTATTAAAGAACTCATTTACTAATGCTGAAAAAGTTTTTTTTTTTTTTTTTAAATGACTCTTGAAGACTAACTCTTGCTCAAATACATGCATTAGGTACACGATTACAGTCTCATTTTAGCCAACAGAGGCATCCAGTAATAAACAAATTTTTAGACATAGGAAAATCATAAGAATTACATATAAATGCATTATGCACTATATGTAGGAAAATCTATATAATACCACACAATATAAATATGCATAGTAATTTATAATTTGTCATTAATTTTACAGGAATGACAGTTAATAAACTGAAGCACTAATTATAGCTGAACCTATTATAGCACAGTAAGAATACACATCTTAGATAGGTTCCAGAACAATTTAATTCCTTTGAGGAATCCAACAAATAAGAAAATTGGTTACTTTTCTCCAAAAATTCTGCCCAAGTTTGAGTTGTACCTGGCAATTAGGCCTGCATGACCAGCTATAGTATAATAATTTCAAACAATAGTCTTCCCTACAGAGCCACTATTGTTACTAATTTCTCTTATTTTTGTCAGTAGAGCTAAGTGGATTCTGTATAACCAAAAACACATTAACCAAAAGAAATTCATATCATTTACTATTACACAAATTAACTTTCAAAAACTACCACACGAAGGACACTACTCCCATTCCCAAACATCAGTATTAGTCCTTAACAAATAAAGAATCAATGAACTTTATAAAGGTCTGCCCCTTACAAAAGGTAATTAAATGTGAGTACTGAGATCACCCCGGTCCTTCACTGCAAGTCTTCCTGTGTGTAACACTGCCCACGTCTTCCTAAAATAGTTTGAAATGTGTGACTAAAAGACCTGAACCCTAACAGGGCTGACAGCTGAGCAGCCGTCTAAACAGGACTGAAGTCCCATGTTGTCTGGAGAATCAGAATCTTAAAAGTCAGATGAAAAATCACTGTTCTCTAAATTACCTTTGAAGAGAACTGCCCCCAAATTAAAGGTTTTATTGTATACAATCAACCTATATTTACTAAGAAATATATAAATGTTAGCACAAATACCCTCAAATATTCTCAGAGGCTAGGTGAAGTTGTGCTTTTTGGTTTTACTTACCTAATATTGCACTATTAAGAGCTGAGCACACAGGTTCTCTCTGAATTGGGTCAAGCTGATTTCCAACTGGGCTATTCCAAGGATCTGAATATGCTAGTAAACTGAAAGCATCCTGTTGAAAACAAACAATTTGATTTTCAATTCAAATAGTTCAACTGTTATGTTCACAAGCTGAGAGCTGGTTCCAAGCTGAGAGAGAGAGATAGATATGAAATAATCCTTCAAGTCACTAGTCTACTGTAATTTTAAACTCCTTTTTCCCAGTCTGGGATGCTATTTTTTTTCTTTCTTTTCCCTGCAGTGCTGAGGATCCAACCCAGGACCTCAAGTGCTCAGCCACTACCCTCCACCCCCATCCCGATTTAGATAAATGTTACCTTCAACTTCCACCTTGCCTGTTTGTACAGTTACGTGCTGCATAAAGACATCCAGGCCAGTGACAGACCATGTACGTAACAGTGGTCTCTAAGACTGTAATGGAGCTGAAAATTCCTGTGGACTAGTGACAGCATAGCTGGTGTCATGTTTTAGCACAATGCACGCTCACCTGTTTGGGGGGGGTGCTGGTGTAAACAAACCTACTGCACTGCCACTTGTGTATATTAGGTATACCACACTTGGTAATGCGTGACTGCCAAGCCCAGGCCACGCCACATGTCCACTGTACAGCCAAGGTGTGTAGGTCTGTTTAAGTACACTCTGATGTGTGCACAACAAAACTGCCTAACAACACATTTCTTGGAACACAGCCATGTTGTCAAGTGACCCGAAAGCATGGGATTCAGAAGTTTATGCCAATTCCAAAATATTTAAGAATTCAAAAATAACTACCATCACATGTAGTCTGAGAAGGGGAGGATGATTTCTAAGACTCGACTACAGCAAAAAATGTTTTCAGATGCTCTTCTCTAGTCTTTTTCTTTGAATCCTTATAAAGTGGGTCAGTTATTCATCCTTGTGTGGATCAAGGTTAAGTCTGAGGAATGAGAAGGAAGCAGCTGAGAATATTAAGAGAGCCCCCTAAAGAGTTTGGGAGTTGCTCAGAAGTCAGAGGTACAAAATCAAAGCCATCCATAGTCTTTGAATAAAGATGAGTAACATCTTCACATAATTCAGTGTGAATAAATCAATTTATCAAGAAATATCTTTAAGAAACAGAGCCATAATAACATTTTCTGAGCTTTGTGCAATTTAAAATAAATACATAGTAAGCTAATGGCATA